AAAATATAGGTACAGAGGTATGTGTGAATCTGGTCCAAGTTTGGTCTTGAATGATATTTTAGATGTTCCACAAGTTCACTTCAGAATCTGGCCCACATCTGGTAGAACTAGAGGACACATACTTAATGGTAAGAGTGGTAGAACTAGAGGACACAAGGTAATGGGTAATGCTCAGCTAAGACATTTTTTTTTCTAAAAAAAACAACAACTTGGAATGAGATGTGGTCGAAGCAGTAAACTTAACGAAGTTTAAGGAACAGCCTGATAAATATTTGAATGATAAGGGCCGACTTTTACTGTGTTTTAAGAGTTCAATTTAGTGACTGGGATGGCTTAGATGGACAAACAGGTCCATTGCTGTCCTTAAATTCTATTTTATATTATGTCTTAAGCTTCCAGGTTTGTTAAGCGAACATAACACAACCAATCTTTGGAAGGGCTGCATATAGTTTTGTTGTTGATTTTGAGTTAGAATACAGACTACTCATCAGGCTTGAGGTAAATGGAAAAGAATTTATTTGAGAAAACTTGTGGTTTGAGTGAACCCATGTTTTATATCCCCATGAAGCAAACCTCACTGGTAATTTTTAAATTCTAATCTTGTTACTTAGTGAAAAAATAACTTAAAGGTGCTCATTCGACACACCACATAGTCTGGTCTGGGCACGTACTTAACTGTAGAGTGGTAGAACTAGAGGACACATACTAAACAGTAAGAGTACTTAATGGTAACAGAGGTAGGACTAGAGGGCACGTACTTAATGGTAAGAGTGGTAGAACTAGAGGACACGTACTAAACAGTAAGAGTGGTAGAACTAGAGGACACATACTTAACGGTAAGAGTGGTAGAACTAGAGGACACATACTTAATGGTAACAGAGGTAGGACTAGAGGGCACGTACTTAACGGTAACAGTGGTAGGACTAGAGGGCACGTACTTAACGGTAACAGTGGTAGGACTAGAGGGCACGTACTTAACGGTAACAGTGGTAGGACTAGAGGACACGTACTTAATGGTAAGAGTGGTAGGACTAGAGGACACATACTTAACAGTAAGAGTGGTAGAACTAGAGGGCACGTACTTAACGGTAAGAGTGGTAGGACTAGAGGGCACGTACTTAACGGTAAGAGTGGTAGGACTAGATATGTCCTCTAGTTCTACCACTCTTACCGTTAACTATGTGTCCTCTAGTCCTACCACTCTTACCATTAAGTACATGTCCTCTAGTCCTACCACTGTTACCATTAAGTATGTGTTACCATTAAGTACCACACTTACCGTTAAGTACACAAGAAAGATGATGTTTTGATACTATCAATTCCCTTAATGATTTTCTTCCACTGCATGAATGGGTAGACACGACCTAGTCTACACAGGACTTAATGGTTGACTCCTAAAGTGCCAACAACAATCTTCAGACTACTACATTACAATAATAACATTACTACCTACATAAGATAGATAACCTTTTATATAAGATTATACTGGACATTTTTTAAAGAAGGTGGCTAAACATGAAATATTAAATAGTCAGTATAGAATAAGTTAATCAGTTAATAAGTTCTTTGAATTTACATGTAATTATAACAGATAATTACTTAGCTTACTTTAACACACAAGATGAAAACGCCTGACTCAAACAATAAATACGAAAGTTAGTGAATCAGTCAAACTCCTTAGTCTTATTGACCATGTATCAGGCAGGTGGCAGCACTGCCTATGTAGGGATGGCTCGGATTGTTAATCGAAATGGTATTTTAAATATCTCCTCGATAGGTCATCGGAACTTCACAATACTATACAGTGTTTCCTTTTATAACAATATCTGGGAATGTCTGTAAATATCATTGTAAAAAGATTGAATATCTTGTTCTTTCTTCTGCTTCTTTTTTATTACATAACTCAAAAACCAAAACTATGGTGTCAACCAATTTCACTGAGGTAACATGGTTTCAAAGAGAGTATCTACTTAAGTAGACGATGGTCTGTATTACAGCTGATAGAACCATGTAATTAAGTAGATGATGGTCTGTACTACTGCTGATAGAACCTTGTAATTAAGTAGATAATGGTCTGTATTACAGCTGATAGAACCAGTAGTACAGACCATCATCTACTTAATTACATGGTTCTATCAGCTGTAATACAGACCATCGTCTACTTAATTACATGTTGATAGAATCATGTAATTAAGTAGATAATGGTCTGTATTACAGCTGATAGAACCATGTAATTAAGTAGATAATGGTCTGTACTACTGCTGATAGAACCGTGTAATTAAGTAGATAATGGTCTGTATTACAGCTGATAGAACCACATAATTAAGTAGATGATGGTCTGTAAGTCTAGTTGAAAGTCATGCCATTTGTAATGTAAGATATCATACCAATGTTTCACAATAAAAATGAAAGGAAAATGTTAGTTGTAAACTTAGAAAAGGTATGATCAGGTTAGATGTTAAAAACTTAATGGAAAAAAAATCACTATTTGTTATTTAAAGGTGAAGATTTTTTACATCTTTATTGTCAACAAAAGCTTGTTTTATTAAGTAATTAAGCTACCTTCATATAAGTAAAGGGTTCTTACAATATAATTCAATATAACTGTAAGAATTTTGTTTTTTACAGGAAGTATTGAATAAGGTTGGAGCCGTGCTGTGGTTGGATATTCAGTATACCTTTAAAAAAAGACTGCCTAGTCATCTGTTGAAGAGAGCAGAAAGAGATGGTTTGGTGATGTGGAAAGTTGATCATCCAACGTCGTCTTTAACACATCAAAAAATGTTCGATTACTTCCGGGTATCACAGGTTTACTACTATTTCCACCGCATGGTTGAGTCTAGTCATTTAATTCTGTACAACACGGAAACTGTTCATTACAGGTTAATGCTGCCATGGGTTCGGTGTGCTCTTACGTTGGACTGTATTGCTCCTATTGGTTCTCAACGGTTTGGCTGTAGGTTCAACAAAAAGCCTTTATATAGATATTCAGGTTGTCATCGCTACGATATGTCGGCATTAAACGTGGTTTTGGGTTTGATGTATAATTTTGATTCTCACAGCTATGCAGCTGGCGATAAAGACAAGTTTTTTGGTCTGGTAAAACAAGAATTTGTTTCAAAAACTTTACAGCACTCATCGAGGGAAAACACAACCCAGTTCACAGACAATAAAGTTCATGAAACAACGTGACTTGGGAAAAACAACTGATGCCAAATAATGAAGCTTTCATCTTTATTCTCCCATGTTTAGTTGAAGAATTAAGCACAATGACAAATAAATGCACCTCATGTAATTTTATTGTTTTTATCAAGACTATAGATACAGGTTGCTACACATCATGGGAAGCAGGACTATGCTTAAGAAGAAACCGTATCGGAATACGGTATTTCTTTCAGTTTTGATGATATACACCATTGATTCAGTACAAGATTATGTGCACAATATACATACTGATGGTTTTGTTTAGTACAAAATAAAAATAATCAAAAGAAGATACACACAAAGTACATATAATGTTTGAAATGGGAAAGTAAACTGAACTAAGGGAGAAAGCAACTAACTGGGGTAGACTATCTTTCTGTAGAATTCAAGCAAATGCTGAAGTTGTAGTCTCTTTATTACTATTATAAGGCTAAAAACTGGCAAAAAAAGATTTTATTTTTCCTCCTCTTCCCTACATTTACTCTAGTAATTAATTATCAAATTTATTTAAATGAGTTTGATGTTGGTTATATATATATAATTTTTTTTCACAAGTGCGATTAGGGTCATAGCACTATAAGTACTTTTCTTAAACAGTTAGGGTTGTATTTGTACATTTCTTTATTTTAGTAATTTATCTGAAAAACTATGCTAGTATTCCCTTTTTGTGGATAATGTCCAAGGTGATGAATTGTAATCCTCTCATTGGAAAGCTGTGTTAGAACCGGAAAGAAGCATGTGGTTACAGTTGTAACTGTGGAAAGCTGTGTTATAACCGGAAAGAAGCATGCGGTTACAGTTGTAACTGTGGAAAGCTGTGTTATAACCGGAAAGAAGCATGCGGTTACAGTTGTAACTGTGGAAAGCTGTGTTAGAACCGGAAAGAAGCATGCGGTTACAGTTGTAACTGTGGAAAGCTGTGTTAGAACCGGAAAGAAGCATGTGGTTACAGTTGTAACTGTGGAAAGCTGTGTTATAACCGGAAAGAAGCATGCGGTTACAGTTGTAACTGTGGAAAGCTGTGTTAGAACTGGAAAGAAGCATGC